AAAGGGAGAAAGGCAGGGAGGTTAACCAGAAAGACATCCGGTTGGTTACCCTACACTGGGCGATTAGGGAAGGGGACAAGAAAGATGAGAAAGAGAGAAGAAAAGGAAAAGGGAGAGACAGACAGTAAATTCACTGCAGCGTGTCCACTGCAAGTCAGAGGCGTTCACACAAACCCGTCTTCCCCAAGAAACACGAGAGACCTTTCACTGCCTTGTGGCCTGTCGAGGGAAGTGGACGGTGATGTGGACGGCGTGTCGAGTGTTATGCTGCGCCCCCGCCCTGCCTGTGATAAAGACGGTGAGTACGTCTGTTTTCTTCTTTTCTCCTTTTTTCTCCTTTCGGCAATATGATCTGATGAAAGAGAACGCTCCTAATTGGGACTGGAATCAATTTAAAACCTTTCCTCGACACGAGAATTTCGGTATTTGAGTGCACGTGATGGAAAAGTTTGCTTAGGGATGCAAGGCTTCCATGTTTCATGTGTAATCGAATTAAAAATGGTCCTAATAGCGTCAGTTTGGGACAGGGTGGACAACACGAACACGCGCACCCGCCAACTCATTGTGCAGCTTTAGCGAGCCTCTGACATTGTTCGGCATACTTATGCTTTGTTTCATTGACCGCAATACTCACGGTATCTCTTTTTCTGCAAATAGCGTAGACACAGGCGTGCACACAGAGCTCACAGATTCTGGGTTACCCCTTTGGGTAACCAGGGGGAATGCCCCTCCGTCCCGCTAACCGCCTCCTCCCGGTCGGCACGCCTATCAGCGTAGACGTATTCCTCAGTGTGAACAGGGCTTTTTAAAGCCGCCGCTGTCAGCAGCGCACTCACAGACATAACTGCGGTCAAGTTTTCCATCGGCACAGAGGTGACGCAGTTAATGGTGTTGTCGCGCAACCACTGCTGCTGCAGGGAACACACCGCAGAGCATTGTCCCCGCGATGCGCTGTGCTTTTTCTGCGATACGAACCACCTGCGTGATGCCTTTGTACATTGCGCAAAAGTCTTGCGGAGAAGCGAGTAGACTACCGGTAGATCGTGCAAGTTTACAGTGGTTTGAGCTTGCGCAACGGGCAGCTCTTGCCAGTTAAGGGCGGAAGGCGAAGTGTCGAATTTGCCGCACTTGGATAAATTACCCGAATGTATTACTTAATAATAAATGACGCGTCAGTGCAAGTAAACTTGAATGCGCGTTTAAGTGGCTACGCATGCCTCACGCATTTAGATATAGGTGTTTCAAGAAATAAGTCCGAATTCTTCGAAAATCGGAAAATGTGATACTAACTCGCTCTCTTCACAATTGCTTTTTTGTAGCGGCAGGAATCCTAAGTTGGCTGGATACATCATTTGGGACCGTAATAAGGAAAGTTAAATTAACTCCTTAATTAGTGGTTATGTCAAGTGGTAGAATTACAGTTCTTCATGCGAAGAACCATAACAGCTTTGATGTGTAGAAAAGGCGGCCTCACCTAATTATTACGGCGTAATGAAATTCACCCAAGCTCATCGGCAAAACCGAAACCACAGCACAGAAGAGCGCAACAAACAGAAAAAATAGCGCTCGTGTCTTTCGTCTCCTTCTTGTCTCTGTGTCGTCGTTTTGTTCTCGCGCTATAACTATCGTCATGCCATACCAACTAGCCCAAGCTGCCACACTTCTAAGACGAGTAGAGTGATGTCACTATACTGTTGCTAAAGGCGACCACAGAGGAGTCGTTCTTTGACGCTCAGTAAAGTATGTGCATCATGCATGGTGTAATTACAAGCGAAGCCAGCGCATCCACACAACAAAGACACGACGAAGTCGGTTGATGGTTGATATAACAAGGCTCGCGCATTCTGGGCGTATCAGAAGAATAAAGCAGTTGCATGCTTCCGTGTTTCCGTTTCACTGCTGCATTGGGTAGAATTGTTTTCATTCCGCAATTATTATTACAGGGCGTTCTTTTTTTTTTTTGAAATATGAGTGTTGCAATGGGTTCTTTGCATGAGGTACTTCGATTCTCCAATTCGACATAACCTCGCAAACCCTCTACTTATTTCAGAGATAATTTATCAAGCCTCGTTAATTAGTGTCCTAAATGATGTATTTAACCATCTTAAAATGCCTGCCGCTAGAGTCATAGGTCTGCGCAGGATTTGCCTTCAGGGGGGGGGGGGGGAGGAAAGGTTCGTCGCAGCGCCCCCCTCCCTAATACGTCAGTGTATGGGACAGACTTTTCGCCCCTTAAGTCAATCTATGATGCGCAGATTTTGCTTCCCCGCTCTTATGTGGGGAGGGGGCACCCCCCCCCCCTACCTGTCCTCCTCGTGCGCACCGAGTCTATGGTTGCAGAAACAGCAACTGTGAAAACAGCGAGCTAATAAATCTCTTCCCGAATTGTTTTAGTATTTAAGACGCATTTCTTGAAGCAACAGGTATATATTGGGCGCCCCTGATATGATAGTTCGCTCCACTACCCCACCACTTACATAGTTGGCTGGTAAAATGTGTTTTGCAGCATTAAAGGGACCTTGAAACACTTTCTCAAGAAACTATGGAATGGATTCGCTAAAAGAGCTTACTACCTCACTAATTCAACGCCGCCAAAATTTTAAGAATCCGTCTAGTACGAGCGAAGTTACAAAGGTTTGTCTCACGTTGTAATCGCATTCTGTGTTATCTTGTCCCGACAAAAGCGCTGGAAGCTAAACAGGGAAGGGTGGCATAGGCAAAGGAAATACGTCACGCGCACCTCATGACTCTTTTTTTTTTTTGCATACGTGGTTTTTTCAGTGTGATCGCGCGTGTACGCGTGGACAAGTCGCGGCCTCTCGCGGTGATCCCAGTAACGACTGAGCGCGCCATGTTCAAATCAGCCAATGGCTGATAGATGGCCTCATACGAGGGATTTTTTAGTTTCCTCCGTCATTTGTCGAGAAAAGAGAAATCAATTTTCAGCTGCTTTGATAATTTAGTGTGCATTCGGGCCGCATGCTACGCTATAATATTTGGCTCACGTGTTCTCGGGAGCCTCTACGACCAATCGGCAGCATTTTCTGACCATGCTCAAAGGGTGTTGCAGGGCCCCTTTAAATGTTTTCGAAATGCGCGTTCTTGCGCGACATGTAGCGACTAGCGATGTGCGTAGAAAAAAAAAGTATACATTGTTCGTCATGCCGCCGCCTGCTTGTCACCGTTTGTGACATTGTTCTCTAAATGCCAGCTTGCTTTCCGCCACGAGCGAGCATGTAAAAAAAAGAATGCAAAAAAATGGGCGTGCGCCACAGAGCAGCCTTTGTTCTACAGTGGCGCCCACTGGAAGCAATCAACAGAACTAATCTAGCGCGCGCTATGCAACATCACAAAGAAAAATGTTGCCACCAAAATAGCCTCTTTTACTTTTTAATAAGTCGTAGTATAACTCTTTCGGTACGCTCCTCTGAAAAATGCTGTGACCAGCAAAACCTTTGAACTCTTATAAAGGTAAAAGTGTTTGCGAATTTATATTGTTGACAAATAATTGGTCCGATAGGCATTTTTGAGAATATGTTGCTGCATTATTGAAAACTGTACATGTGGTAACATCGAGGTTACAGTATTTGAAGACGAAAATTGTCTCTGTTGCCAATGCATTAATATATTGACTACATGGTGTTTGGACATAACACCCTCAGGAGGAGGAGGAAGCAACAAAAAGGGAGAAGGCAGGGAGGTTAACCAGAAAGACATCCGGTTGGCTACCCTACACTGGGGGATAAAGGAAGGGGACAAGAAAGACGAGAAAGAAACACCCTCACAATTTATGTTAATCTACTGGCTACCAAGAAACAAGTATTTGTGACAATTGTATAATTTTTTTTATTACGACATATGCTTACCCTTAAGGCATAATAGTTTTTTGCGTATATGGGTATTCAATGTGTGTGGTTAGGCCGTTATGGTGTATGAAGTGATGTAGTGTCCTGTGTTGTCATGTATGCAGCAGTTGTAACTAGTTGTGTCGCTTTAGTGAAAGCTGGCTTGCAGGAGGTGAGGGGATAGGAGCGTTCTGGCTGTAACCCTTGACAAGCCCATATAAGGTGGTATGCATCTGCTTGCATCACTGGAGTGGTACAATAATGCTACGCCTGCGAATTTCAGCAAGATGATGACCATGGATGACCACTTTTGCCATGGTTATTGTCCTTTTCTACCACGAAAAGTGCTGAGCTAGGGCACTGATTCATGTTGTGCAACTGCAAAGGTTACAAATCAAATGCTATTTGCCACAACATATAATCTCTTGAGCAATGAGCACAGAAGCTTGGCCAAAAACAGATAGGTGTTTCAAATCAGCTCTAGTGGTCTCGTACCTCTTTTTTCCATCTGTCCCCGTTTTTGGGGCCGCATATTTATTTCGTAATGTTGAGCAAGAAATTGGAATAGCCATTATCCTCTGTGACATGCCATTTATACATCTGGAAATGTTTATTCACACCTCATAAAGCCAAACACCTTTCAAGAGATGGAAAAACAGCAGGAAGGGGAAGATGGAAGCTTGTGATGAAAAAAATCTGCAAACAAGGGTTGTGTTGAGCCGATATTTCAACAAGCGGACTTGTCCTCCTGAAGTCTAGAAGAGAACTGCAGGAACACAAGTCTCCTTGTTAAAACGTTGGCTCGACACAACCCCTGTTCACAAATTTTTTCATCCAAGAGATGGGTATCAGACCAGCCCTGTAAGGCCTTTCATACAAATATGTGAGCACTTCTCTCTAGACGTGGCTATGTGGACTTTACGTGCAAACAGCGTTCCTAGTGCTTTTCACGAAATGGGTTCACTACAATCCTGAGGGCATTAATCAGGCATATCCCAAGCTCTAATTAAAGAAAGGTGTACAAGCTTCATCAGTAGATAGTGCTGTTATTATAGCGTCTGTCAGGGTACGTCTGGTATTTTCCAATTAATGTAGTCAGGCATGACCTCTATGAGTATGAATGAAGAGCGGTGGCCAAAAGCTATAACGCATGTGGCACATTTTTTGTTATTTTATTGCACATGCAACAGTGAAAATCACCAAATCGCCAGAAAGTAGGCATGCAAACTTTATTAAACTATTGCAGGCCTGCAGATAGTATTGCATTCTCTCTGGTTTGTATTGGTACAGAAAAAAATCAACACTCAAAATTGATTTAATATATGGCACCAAGATGGAAAAACATTTTACTCTACTGCCGCCAACAAAATTTGTCATACACGAGACATGAATGTACAGATGGGGAACACATAAATAATGCGACGAGTTTAATGGAGTTGGCCGGCATGAAGGTGCTGCAAGCCACATAGGAGCGAGCAAGGGGTGGTAAATTCAAATTTAAATTCAACAAATTATATTTCAATTGAGAAGCGAGTGTCATGCGTGATGCAGCAAAACATTTCAGTGTAAATAGCTCATTCGTATCTAGTGGGATATCAATATAGGGACACTATTACTAATTGACAGATCGTCGAATCTTATAATCTAAATGGTAGAGTTTAGAGCAGTACACTGCATTATAGACAATTCTCACAGGTATAGTACAGAATACAGGGTTATAAGAGTGTATTAAATTATTAATGAACAGGGGTGCATTGAAATGAGAGAAATACTACAAGAAGAAAAAAAAAAGCTGCTGTAAAGCAGATAGGATAAATAGTACAACACAAAAGCAGGTAAAGGCTGTACAATGTTCCCATCAATAACTTCAGTATATATATATAGGAAAAAGTATTGCTTGCTTATTCTGTGCAAAAAGGTCGCGAGAGGGAACGTATTGTGCATGCTTAAAGCGACTAAACAGTGTCCGTTATTGCACACGTATACACGTCAGGACGTACATGTTGCTGTACTGCCAATAAGTATGGGTTCTGATCATAGAGAAGCTGTCACGTTAAAATGAACTCCACAAATGTGAAAGACAGGGGCATAAAGCAGTTTCTGCGGGCCCACATACTCAACTAACCTGTGCGTGCCCACACATTCAGCAGCTGGAAAACACTCTTTTCATTCAATACACAAGAATGGGATAGGACAAATAGAAAATGCACAACAAAAAGTGCAGAGAGCCGAGAAATGGCACCGATTACCCGATTGGATAAACATGGCTAAATACACAACACACACAAACACAGAAAAGACAGCGTAGTCATAGCTAAAATTAATTCAAAGATTATTACGCACCTCACGATCAGATTGCTCGAGGCACTGAAAATGGAAATTGGACCATCAAGAGCCATGGACAGAAATTTACTTGCAAGTCGACAATCCATAGGTGATAACCTTATTCTGTGGTAGTTCCAAAGGGTAAGAATAAGTGCTTGAAACAACCAACAAGCTCAATTTGTAGCCAAACACAGTAGACTTGCAGTGCTGTAATGCACTTGTTCCTTCTTTGCTTCTCACTTATTGGACACAGTACCACAGGCAAGAACCTTGGTTTTGTTCATTTCACTGAGCCCAGCTACCATGTTTGGAAACAAGAGGCAGTGAAATTGAGACTTCTTTGTAACATACCAGAGAAATTTTTCTCCGAGTGATCAAGTAAGAACGTTTAAGGAAAGGCAGTACACATATGCCAACAGACGTGTAAATGTAGGCCACACAAAAAAAAATGTAGCACCCAAATGTTATTACCGTACAGGAAAGAGATAGGCTTGCTTATCTAGAAATCGAAATGTTTCTAAATGCTAGATTTCTGTCTCCAGCACACAGATGTCAGCCATCAGCCAAGCAAATCTGTAGCCAGAAAAAATTGATCATCAGGTGTTTACATCATTTCAGATCATCTCATGCGAACCCACAGGACATTTAAATACACAGACATTTTAGATGCAACACTTGTTACAGCCAATACATTTCCTTAGGCACACTCTAGGCAGAACAATAAAGCAAAACAAGAATAAGTACAGATGCAAGGACGCTGCCCCAACAATTCCTTTGGTCACTGGACACACACTAACATCAATATAGGCAGAAAAAAAAAGCTGTGCAAACAAAACAGCAGAATTACACGAGAGTCACGATGCACAGTGCTGCTTTAACACAGCTCAGTCCGCGCACAAAGGTCGAACAGCATGAAGGCAGTCTCCGCACAGTCACCCCGCACAGTCAGTAAAAAAGTCAGCATCACAGATACACGCTCTTTTTCTTTTCCGCCGAGCCTATAGACACACACAGCTTGGCAGTTGTGCTGCTTGTAGAAGTAAGTGGTAGTGTCAGATGGTCATTTAGTGATAGCTTTCACATACTCCTGAACCAGCACAGCAAGCTGATGTCATGTGCTTCATTGCAGACCCTTGGCAAGGTACGGAAAAAAGAAAGCCGTCCCAAGAAAGAAATGATGCAATGTGCTTCATTCTTGGTGCTTCTTGGAGGTAAGAGGTTCGTCAGACGACTCTCCCTGCAGAAAGAAAGTGTCCCACTTAGAGAACAGCCAAGCGATGAGGCAAAAGTGCACAGCGTATGGTTATAAGTTAAAGGACAACAGAGAGAAATACTTAATCAATATAGACTAGGGCACGGACTAAGGTAACTCTGTAGATGTGTACGTCTTGATCCTAGGTTCATTATTATAAGAGCAAATAATTGGGAAATTTTCGGTTATTTAGATTTTTTTTTTTGCTTCAAGCTCCAGCACCTGAACATGAGTCTGATGCCACATATTGTGAAGTATCAATTTTGCACTCTTGCCACACTGGCTTAATTAAAGTTGCCGATACCTGCCATGACAAGCATCTTGTTCCCTGGAACACGATGTAACTCGTATTTACCGATAGAGTGTTCGATAGCTCAGGCAGGCGCAGTCAAAATCTTTGACGTCCGGGTGAGTTAGGGCAGAAGCTTCCAATAAGGCGTTGCTACCCGTCTTTTCATCATGCACATTTTCTGGTTTGCTAAGAGCCTTGTTGAGGCAACAGCAGTGTCCATGTTTAGAGCTGCAGCGCAATTCAAAATAACGTAAGTGAAATAATTCTTCTTTGTAGTGTCCATTTCAGTTCATCGCTAACTCTTTCCTATATATCTGAAGTCTTTTGCGCCACTGCTAGCAAAATGCCAGGCTGGCGACTACACATGTCGCAATATTTGGAAAAAAAAAAAAAAACTTAAGGATTCCCAGTGTCCTTACCAGTGCAAGCAGCCGGCCAATGTTTCCAACTGTGATGCCTCCCGAGAAGAACACACAGGGAAGCCAGGATCTTACAAAGGCCAAATCTTTCTCCGAACACCTAAAGAGCGAAACAGATTTTGAGAATGTTTCAAGTGTTCAGTTAAAGTAAACTCAAACATACAACCAAAAAATCTCATTGCTAACATCAGCCAAACTTGGACTGATTTTAACTACACCATGTTTCGGGCAATTAAGTTTACATGCCCGCATGTGATGGCAACATATTGTTACTCACAATCCAGATGGCGTAATAATAACTATTTATTGGGGCTAACTTGTGCCCGAAAAGTAAAGGAAAATGTAGCAGCATTTCTAATAGGCGATCCCCAAAAGGAATCAATCTCGGAGAAGCCCTCGAGCGGTGCACCACTTCTTTCTCGTCAAAATCCCGTGCTGAGGAGGCGCGTGCCGTCACGGCCTTTTCTTGTCTCATCATCGGGCCTCTGGTCACTTGGGGGCGCACGAACTAGCGCGCGTAGTTTGAATACTGCGTCTGTCTTGTGTCACTATCCCTCCTCCAAGAACGCATCGTCCCGATGCGTAAAAGCAGTGTTGCTGACATGGTCTGAATGCGTGGTTTACATTGGAGAAATAGGTATTCCTTATGATCGGGTGTGTGTAGTTCGATGTTCATTGCCTGTCATAGTATGGCTTCATTCTGACTACATGCACGATTGCTGTGCTCCTTCGGCATCTTGATGAGCTCACTTGTCCTACCGGTGACACCTCGTACCTAGTTCAAGGAGCTGACGCGACGAAGGACTCGGTAAGGGCCAAAATAGCGGCGCAGAAGCTTTTCGGAGAGGCCAGGCGTCCGCACGGGAGTCCAAATCCAAACTCGGTCGTTTGGTGCATAGTCGACTCCGCTCCACCGGAGGTTGTAACAGTTTGCATCAATGGGTCGTTGTTGTTTTATGTGATGTCGCGCCAACTGATGTGCTTCTTCGGCTCGCTGAATGAACTCGCTGATGCCAGGCTTGTGCTCTGTATTGTTGCTTACAGGCAGCATTGCATCTAATGGTGTGGTAATTATTCGACCGTAGACTAGCTGGAATGGCATCACTATATGCATTGTAAATGTTTTGAAGCAACTAACTCGGTTCACTGCACGACTAAGCGACAGCCTGGTCGATTGCACAGGATTTGAATGTCACAAGGAACATGCGGCTTGCGATTGGCCGATGCAACATCAACAGCTTACCACTTGCAGGAAGTTGCAGAACCAAGAAATGATCAAAGGCAGTTACCTCATATAACACTCAGGATCGTCACAATATCAATTATAACTAATAGACAACGATGCCAAGGAAAGTTTAAGGGATGTTATTAGAAGTAATTGTAATGTAAATCTGAAGAAAGAAAAGTAGACGAAAAGATAACTTGCAACCGGCAGGATCCGAACCTTTGAATAATGCGTCTGATGCTGTATTACTGAGCTATGGTGGCAGCCATCCCCACGTCCACTTTATGTGCATTCAAATGTATTAGCATCAGTCAGCACTGCCTGTTGCCATTTCGGTGAGCGTGGAACGTTTTTCTTTCTTTCTTTTATGTTTTTTGCATGTAGGTGTCGCCTAGCACATGATCTCATGCGAGCTGGCAGTATGAAAGAGAACGAATACACAATCCTTGGTTTTCGGATGCTAGAATTAATGTGTGGAAATACCGATGCCACCAAGGGCACAGCACAGTGTACAATAATAGCTTTCTCAATATTAGCTTTCTCAATAATAGCTTTCTCAAGTAAGTACAAATAGCTTTACTGAGACGAATTGCTCTTATTTTTACAGTGCTTTCATGTACTAGCACTTCGAGAAGGATGAAATAAGTTATTAAACATTACTTCTCAAGAATTCCAGTGAATAATTATATTGTTGGTGGTTATGCTTCACTTCTAAACATGCATTAAACAGTATCAAGATGCAAAAAGTGTGGCATCATCATATTATTTCAAAATTAAGGCAGTTTTTGACAGTAGGGGAACCTTGTACTGCTGCTATGCCTTGAAGTTTGTACCAAGGAAATCAAGCCTAGAGAAGACCGTCATGGTTTCATCATCCAGTTTGTCAAGAGGCTTTTGTCACACCGTAGTGAGCTGGAGTTTAGTGTCACACATGTTACAGTTGAAGTAGGGTTTGAATGTTCCTGACTGCTACAATGCAGTGACCAAGGTGCACACCACTTGAAGATTGAAAAGCGTTCTATGGAATAGCCATGTAATCAACTCGGATTCCATGCGATGGCCTATGCACCAACAGCCTCTGAGATGACAACCAACCAAACACACTAAATTTTCTGCACACTGAGAGTTGCAAATCCTTCTTTTTTTCAACCTGCCCGAACCTACTTTGTGATTGACTATACCACACTAGCCAACGCTTGAATCTGTATATTAAACCACCCCAACACACTCCATAGAGGGAGAAAATGCTTACCTTCCAATCCTGTAATAGACAAGAAAGTGGGCCACCAAAGTGGCTACAAGTGCCGTAAGGATGCTGAGGCCAAAGCCACCTTGCGTACGGTCGCACAGCCACCACAGGCTCACAGACAGAAGCACTAGAGAGAGTGCGGGTTGCCAGTCACTCTGCAGCTCAATTTTCTGTACACAGCTCAGTCAAGGGCAAATAGAGCTTGAGGCTTCATTTGGCAATAATACTGCTCTGTTAAAATGTTAATCAATTTAACCACCTTATTTCACCAGAATTTACTTTTTTTTGGCATCACTCCATGCTATTGTTATTGTGGCTTTCCATAAAATAACCAACCTGCCAAAGTTTTCTTTTAAATGCGTTCACGTTGCTGCGAACATTATCGATGCACCGTCTTGGCCAATCTAACACGCTAGTGTATTTTGGGAGCAGAGTATTCTTCATCAGATGAGCACTTACCCCTGTGATAATATTGAAGTAGAGTGATGCTACAAGGCAGCAAAAAGCACTGATGTAACATTTTTGTCGGCAAATCTCACAAAGCACTCATTTATATGAGAATAACAGTGGGATGCATATCAGATCATAAATCCCGCTTTGCGCCCATCGCATTTTCAGGCATAATGAAAGTGATGCCACCAAAATAATTTTTATAGAATAAGGTAACTTTTGGTTCATGTTAAATGCAAAAGGATGTTGTAAAGTCGCAAAATATTTGCACCAGCTAGTATATAACATTCACCCCATATATTGCAGTGTGTCAAATGAAATTCAGTGTGCTCTGTCTTGACAAAATGGCCATGTATTGTAGTAGTGACACTGATACCGCTTGCCAAATTAGCCAAATTACACAAATTAGATTTACAGTGCGCCATTAGGTATTGCATATGTCTTGCCCTGCTCGTTAGCTATGACGAACTATGAAATATTGAAGTTCAGTAGTTACACAAACCATTGGCAAATATTTGTCAAGACGTATAAGGTTAAAGAGCACATGCCTCAATGCTGAACGTTGCCAAGCTAGCCACATATTTCTGTCAAATGTATCAATGAAGAACAATACATGCACGAACGTTATTTAAGGATACAGCGCTGGCTTGATTGATCCCCACGAAGAGCGCGATGCACTTCATGACGTCGGACCAGTGGTGGGGAATAGTCTCCTCGCCAAGCTTGTGGTCCAGGCATGGATACAGCAGGCCCACGGATACTAGAAGTGATGTTCACAATGCGTCAATATCAGCTAAACACAGCAATGTTTCTGAGTTTACGTGACAGACATGTGAAACACAGATAAGTGCAGGCGCCAAAAAGCTAGAGACCACTGAGAAAAGTGAACTGAAATATAATCTAAGCTGTACAGCTTTCAATCAAATTCAGTGCAGAAACTTGTTCTAATACGCAATCAATGGGCCATTCGTGAGCCTTGGCAAGAATAGAAAGAAACGAAAAAAAAGCTATCTTTGCTATTCGCGGTCTGGCGTTTATGCGATCGTTTCGGCCTAAATAGTGGATTCCACACTACGATGACGTGATATGTCGCTTGGTTAGGCGACACGCGGCTTTCTAGTTGAAAAAAAAGAAAATAAAGAAAAGGGCTCACCCGCAGCTGTGCCACATATGGCGGGAACCCACCACGGCGAAGACATGAAGACTGATCCGATGAGATTGCGTTCGAACGCCGAGAGGCGGTACTGTATTTGAAAGAAGTCCAGCATTAAACTGAAGAACACACCGACGCAGAAGAGAAACGAAACTCTCCACAGGAGGCTTTTCGTGGCCGTCATGTTTGTTGTTGCAAGAAATGCCCGCTGCCGCCGGATCACACACCACCGAGACGCTTCTGCGCGCTTCCCGCGATCTGTGGCATCCCAGTGCTGCGCGAGAAAAAGTCCTTCGGATCCGGCTCTCGGTGACGTGATGGCTCCTGAGCGTTCACCTCGGTCGAGTGGCGCGATTGACAAGTCACACGCTTTGACAATGGGTCAGCAGGACGACGCGTCGCCGCGAAGTCGTCCGTAGGCGCAAAGATGCACTGACCGCGCGGATGATGCCCCTTCGCCCGTCCGTAGAGTATCAGTTACCTTTGGCCGGGGAACTCCGCACGCGCGATGTCGGGGTTCAACTCTACGTGGTCTTTATCGCGCAGGCGACGCTTCGGCGAGCACGTTTCGCAGCTCGTATCATTGTTTATGTTTCACTTTTACCCTCTGGAGACGTAGGGAAGTCAAAAACACACGATAGACTACGTCCAATCAGCGCTTGGGGCCATGCTCGTGCGATGCCGCGTCCAATGGGAGCGCACTCGTCCAACACATGACCGACTTCGATGTCGCACCATCAGCGCCGGTTCCGTTTTCCGGCCTTGCTTCGCTGTTCATGGCTCGCTTGTTTTTCTTTTAATTGTCCCGCGAGAAACATTCGCGTTGAGTTGTCACAGTTGCCACATGCGGCACTCTGATGTTTCGCTCGTTCGCCTTTGTGTTGCAATATTGTAGTCTCTTCCAAGCGCAAAACCGATTTTTTCACGAATTCTTGTATGAGTCTTTCTTTGTCAATTCGTGGCGCCCTCAACCGCAAGTTGTGTTGTTGTCGTTGATACGAAGCGATGTTAGAGCTGCGAGGGGCGTTTACATTCGCCGGGAGATTTGCGGCTGGGATCAGTTGATGCTCTTTAACGAAGTATAGGTCGTCTTAATAAAGTTTAAACCACCACCTTCTCGTTCATCTGTTGTGCACCATGGATTCAGCACCCATGCAGGTAACCAACCGGAGCTTGATGGTTAGAGGCGAATTATTTGTGCCGATAATTTACGCCCTGGTTATCCTAAACTTCGTTACATTGTGATCGTTACTTCGCGAAAGCTTGTTCTCGCCCTCTCGAACACGCTTAGCGCATGATGTTTCCGCGAATAAAACATGCACCAAAAGTTTGCCTTGGTTTTTATTTTGGCTCTCAACGCAGACTAAAGGCGACCAAGAGGACAAGATGCAAGAAATAAGTGAGCTGCTTGTTGCAGCCGGTTACTTTCGTGCTCGAATTAAAGGAATATCGTCTTTTGATAAGGTAATAAACTTCCCATCATTTAAGCGTGCTTGTTACGCGTTTCTAAGCGTTCTACCCTTTAGCAACTCATTCAACGCGTTTGTATTTTAGATTGTCGGTGGCATGGCGTGGGCAATCGAAGTCTGCGCTGTGGATATCGACGTCGACCTTCCATTTAACGAAAACCTCAGCATCGGTCAAAAGATGTAGGTGAAGTTTTTCGACTAGTCCTTGTCACTGAACCAATTGATTCTAATCATACAACGACTCGTGGCATTAATACACTGTGTGTCTTTGACAGATCGCTGACGGAGAAAATAGTGCGAGTGTTGCTGCGAATGAAATGTCCGCATAGGATCGAACCCCATCAGATACAAGGGTCGGACTTCGATCACATATTTCCTGTCATTCAAGTGAGTTGTTGCATTATGCGGTGAACATTCTCTCTGTTTTCAGTGATTGCAGCTCAAGCTGACGCCGCCGTTAAGGTGGGCGAGTCATTTCATATGAACCAGTCATCAAAACATTGGATAAATTGTGTTTAGCCAATCACCAACGTAACTTTACAACTGCACGAAATTCTAACACTCTAACAAATTGTACCTAACAATCGTGTATACTTCACAACATGTCATACGGGCACACCGGAAAAGATAAAAAATGTAGTAGTGATAAAGCTCCTTTTGCTCCTGGTTTTGAGATGTGCAAAATACTGTGACCTTGTTAAAGAATCATTTAGGTAGGCATCATTTTCAGCCTTACCCCAGCCCAAAAATGTGCATTACTATATGTTTGTTAGTTGTGACAATGTAATTGAGCTTACATGTGCACGTTAATTATAAACCTCGTGTGTTTTGGCTTTTGCTCACTCCACCCGTGGGTATGGCGCATTCATGGTTAGAAACACATCATAGCTATTAAGTAAATGAAACTGACAATACCAATGCCCTAATAAAACACATTTATACCTAATAAAACACGCATATCCATTGTGGACACTTATGTTCATATATCGTCAATGAGTGTAATGGTGCAATGGGGCAGGTTACCTTGAATAAACTGCTTGGCAGCTTGTCACACAATGATCGTAATCCTTCAAAATTTCGTCATCATCATCTGTCTGTGAAAAGTGGCATGCACTGCACTAACAGTGGTAAAAGGCTGCAATATATAGGAGGGTGCATGAAGGAGAAGTTTTATGCTGCATAAACGTGATTTGCAGTATATATCCTGCGTGTCCCGCAGGTGCAAGCTCAGGCGATAACTTATTAAAAAAAGGCTACGTTTTTAAATGTTTGTGTATAACATGAACCTGCACACAAAACTTGTGCAGCTTGTAAAGGCTGTACAGCAGAATTCTCTCAATTATGGGGATTAGAGCGTACTCCTGCAATAAAAAATACATGTGTCCTTTTGCTCTATTTCTCTGCCTGTAGTGGCTAGTGAAAAAGGCCATTGAAACAAAGGCAGAAACTGAGGACATTCACCGAGAGTATGCTGTCTACTTGTTCAACAAGGCTCATGGCTCAGTGGTGAGTGCATGGCAAATCCTGCCTATCAGTATTTCGGGGTGGTTTATTGTAACAAACATGTTTAGCCTGGCAACGAAGGCTGGCAACCGCCTCACCTGATGCATTATCACATGATACGTTACCAGATATATATTAAGGAATTTGCATTTTATATTAATCTCTTTCACCTTCTACTCTTACTCCTCTTTTTCATTGGATGCTACGAATGTAGGAGATACTATGCGACATTTGATTACTGTAAAAGAAATTATACAGATCTGACACACGTGTTGGATTCATGCGTAGTGAATGTTTAGTGATGCAGCTATTTAAATGCTTTAGAGCAGATGGTAAGATTTGTGTGCACGTTAAAAAACCCCAGGTGGTCAAAATTTCTGGAGCCTTCCACTACGGCGTCTCTCATAATCATATAGTGGTTATGGGACGCTAAATCCTACATATCAATAATCAAATCATTAGAGCAGATGGTTATGTATATAATTATGTTTAGTTTCATTCCAAATGACTGATAATCTCATGTAGCCTTTATATTTGTATATACTGCTTCACAAAGCTTGGAACATTATACTTGTCGACCATCTATGTTTGTGCGCTACAAACCATGCTGATGTGCAAATACCAAATCGGGCACAGGCAGAGTGTAACATGTATTTGCAGTGATGTCAGAAAGATGAAGGACACGGATTGTGCTTGTCGAGACAAAAATAACGACGGTAGCATGCACCGATAAGTATGACACATGTCTTCTAATATATTCTCTGATGCCGACTCAGCAGAAGCCACGTTAAGCCTAAGAGTGCATGGGAAAACCTTTCAAAGAATGGAAAATGAAGTGGGAATCAATACAAAGTGCACCCTAAGACATCCTGGCTTTCATGAGATTTAAACTAAGACTAAGACAGAAAGTCTGTCTCAGTCGAGTTCTTCAGAGGATATAGCTCTGCTCTGGGGCATAGCGAGAAACTTTTGCCAGGGAGAGGGAAGAAATAGGAAAGAGGAAATTAATCACCCTTCCTTTATGCACATGTCTGGATGTATACTCATGTAAAATTTCAAGATTTTAGTGTGTTTTAACCCTTTCCACCCTCCACAACCGCCCATCCCGCCCACACTGTGCTGTGCCTATGGTCCCGCTGCAATGTAACTTGCTTGACACTGGGGTGGCATAATTCGATTTATTCTAGCGGGTGTTAAACCGTGGAGCTGGCACATTTCATTCATCTAGCGATGGGCATCGGCAGTATTTTGTCTTAGAGGGTGCAAACCTGTAAGTTACATCGTGTCGAGAGGGAGGTGAAGGGCAAGCGCTTCATTGACACACCCCTGCGACACCCATGTGTGCAACTGCTAATCTCCATTTCTCCCATCCATCGTACTTCTTGCCTCGGTGTCAGAGAAGTCATGCAAGGTCTTATAGCTCTATTTGTGTCTTCTCTTCAAGGACACAGTCAACAAGGACATGTCTGGCAGAGTGCCATCTGCTGCAGCCTTCTCAAATGCATATGCCACTTTGCAGGTGAGTTGGGCTCTCTGACAACATGGTGTACTAGTAGGGAGTCTTACTGGCTTGATGTACCTCAATATGTATGAAACCTTGTTTACAGGACCTTGTAATTGCTTTATTGCATGGAAACCTTCTGAATGCCTGTGGGATAATATACTTTGAAAATAGACCAAACTATTGCATTTTGTTCTCAACTACATAATTTATAATGTTCTTGTAATATTAAAGGAGGTCATGGCACTCTATGCACCAGTACAGTTGAACCTTGTTATATTGAACACAATTGTAACCGACCGGCGGTGCTCGGGGACGTTTGTTGTAAGTGCAGTTTTGTGCCATTGGTATAATGTGCATTTCCGCAGTCGTGCGGGTATCGTTCGTTTCAGGGAAAGTTAATTTTAAGTGGGGCCGTTACATGTAGGCCCGACTGTACTAAATATTGCAATGATTCACAACCACATTTTTATATCATTCTTACACATTAGGTCACAACCTTCTTCAAATACATGTGAAATTAGGTATTTTTTGTCAACCAAACTTTGTTCTGTTGTAACTTCACTTTCTCATGTTCTAATAACCTTAGTTTGAAATGCCACATAAAAAAAGCCAAAGATTACTGCATTTATATTGAGATTGAAGCATAGAATAATGTGTTCTTGTGTCTAAAGTCTCTCTCTTTAGCCAGATAGCTAATTTGTTGGAGCCAATGGAAATGTCTGATGTTACAATGGATCTTGGATATAGTAGCCAACTAACTCATGATCCTAACGTGACATTGCTGTAACGAGGCTAGACTGATAACTTGTCCCTGCCACATATTTTAAAGTATTCCGAACATTTATTTTAAAGGAACGGTACCGCCCAAGGCGTCGCTACCGTCATCATGCTCGGCATACACTCAAGACAGAAGCTGCCCAGGTGCAGGCCACTCTCCTTGAGTACGGCTCTGGCACGCATCGAACCAGGGGTGCTGAGGGTGATCAGTCTCAGCAGGTGTGTAGGAAACTTATGTTAGATTTGTTGAAACTTTTGCTTCTTCTTTTTCTTTACAGAGAAAGAATTCGCAGGAATTGCTTGCCGACAAGAAGCGATGAAAAGTGCCTGAAGGATGGGTGTCACTAAAGCCAATGTTGCAACAAGTTGTCTTGCCTTCTTCAGTGCTGCAGTTAGTGCTTGGCGCCTTGAAGAATTTCAGCTGATCACTTGTCGAAACATTGGCTCTTGTGACACCCTCTGTTCATAATTTCATTGCTCCAATCTTCCACCTTCTCTTAAACTTTTGCCTTGTTTGAACTTCTGCCTTGTTTGAACTTCTGCCTTGTTTGGATTTGGTTACAAGAATTGATATTATGCCACTTGAGTAGGATAACCTGAAGAGGTTGGCCTAGTTTATGAAATACCAATGTTTGGTTAACTATGGAAGTGTCACTCCTTAACTGTGTCATGAAGTACACACTTTGGCGCATGTGTTGCAGTCATGAATAATATATAATATTTGCTTTGGTTATAGTATAGCTGTGGTTCTGCTAACTTGTCTAGCCTTGCATTCTTTTCCAATCCACAGGATGTAATGACAGACCAAAATATGCTGAAAGCTCAGGGCCAATATTAGTGCATTATCAAACTGCAGTCATGCATGTCCTATGTTCCCCAAAACTGAATAAGCCTTTGCATACTTTCAGATGTTTAAAAATTCCTGTTCTTTAACAAAGGACAGAATAAATTTTTGAGGACTGTTCTCTCTTCTTGCTGTAGACATTGAAAAGACATGGTCGTCCGTGTCAAGTTTGATACATTGCTCATGTTCACTTTTACAACTTCATTTTTATGGTTTTTCAGGAATCTGAGGTGATTCTGAGCAACATGGCTCCTCTAGCTTCGGCAGAGGTGAGTGCTCGTCAGGCATGTACGCTGCTCCGTGTTGTGTTATATGTTTTCCTCTGGTGTCGCAGCGAAGCTCACACTGTTGTCCATAATGTCTTTGCACCCATAGCAATGTGCTGCTGACCACAAAGCATCAAACATGTTTCCTGGTCTAATGGAAGATGCATTGCTATTACATGCCAAAATGCTTGCATACTGAGCCTTGGATATTCATGAAAAGTGCCTGTAGTGACCAACATTAATTCTGAGACCTCTAGTGTGACATCTCTCAATTTTTCGCATTACATTCCCATGATCCCATTCTGTTATTCACCCACACCTCCTGTGTTGCTGTGAGAAGATTTTTACTTGAGGCATCTTACTACACAAAGAAAGTGTATGTTCTTCAATCATCAACTTTAAACCATTCACATTCACATTATGTTTTGACGAAATGACTATATGAAGCATAGCTCATTCGTACTACATGTATAGCTTGATACATCGAATTATAGTATACAAAACAGTACATACAGAAGCCTTTTCTTGACTACCAATGTTTAACAAATGCATGCTTGTACTGAGTGCTGAACAGTTGATATAAAGAAGATACACTCAAAGCTTGATATAAGAAATCTGGATATAACAAAATATCAGTTATAACAAAGTAAAAAAAACTAGCCTTGCAATAGATTTAGTGTTAGGAACAAACATTTATAATGATTTTTCCGATATAACGAGCTTATTTTCATGTAAGATGCAAGTTTGTTAAAATTAGGTTCAAGTGTATTCCAATGTGTACTTTTGTGCTGTTACGTTTGCTTGAGTTTTTAATACACCTAGTGCATAATAAACACTGGAAGGTATCTTAACAGCCACGTCATTGTGTGTAGTAAGCTGTCTTGCTAAGAGTTTACCTTTACACTTACAAAGACAATGTGGCGAAACTATTCCAAATAGCGCAGTCGAAGTTGACACCTTGACTTAAAGAACCGGCTTTGTCGCACTACCTGTCCACTCCAAAAAAGCTGCTTGCTCTTGCGCTTGCAGGGGCGTGTGACGACCAAGTCTGTAGGCAACATTGTACAGAAGCAAGCGGCTGAAGCCCGCGAGATAGCCGAAGACTTGGAGCGTAGGGTGAGATTCCATTTTCTTGCACTACATGCAGTTGACGAGGTGCATGTTGCCTAATGAGTTGTCATGTACTGCCGCTGCAATTGCAGCCAATGATCCACATGCCTGGTGCTGCCCGTCATGCAAGGATGCTCAGCTTGGTGCAGAAACAGCTAGAAGCCAAGAAGGAGGTCTTGCAAAAGGTGGGAATTTGCTGTTTTCCCAAAGTTTGTCTGCGTAAAAGTGAGCTAACAGCATTAAAATGTCACATGGCATATACTTAGCAATAACAGTACAGCCCTTGCCATAAAGTTATGCCTCAGAGTGATGCTAAGTAGCATGTTAAATAAGGTTCAGTGGTATTAAAATTTTGGTTTGCTTTTCGATATTGTAATGTTTCAAATGCCCAAAGAATTGATTTGTGGGGTTTAACGTCCCAAAACCACCATATGATTATGAGAGACGCTGTAGTGGAGGGCTCCGGAAATTTCGAACACCTGGGGTTCTTTTTAACGTGCACCGAAATCTGAGCACACGGGTCAAATGCCCAAAGAAGAAAATTGTGTTGAGATATATATGTTAATGAAGCACTTTTTGTCATAGGCAGGCCATGATAACTTTTCAGTAGTTACAGTTACTATTTGTATACTATTTGTAATCTGTGAAATCGAAATGCTGTCTTGCTGCGGTTTGGATAAGGCAAGTCAAGAAAGTTAGGATGGGCCTTTGTTCCTTTGGCTTCTGATAAACGATTTCTTGTTAAAGGGACACTACAGTTAAATAACAATTTACATCAGAGTGAAAGCTCAATGTATGACAACGTCTAAAATGACAACATTACCAGCAGCAGTGAGGTAAATGCATCACAGCACATGTGCTACACGTAGGACATTTGCAAAATGATCCCAATGACGTGAGAGGTACTGCCTACAATTAATCACTAGTAATTGAACTAGCTGCACTAAATAAAGAACCTTCCGTGCATCAAGAGAAGTAATAAAGTGCTGCTTGTTCATTTTTGTTTGATTCATGGAAAAAAGAACCACTGGGCGTTACTATGGGGAATGGCGTCAGTGGTTCAAAAGTTACAATTTTCGCATAGTTAAACTGGACAGGTCACACCATCTAGCGGGGCCCAGCTAAACGAAGCACGTCTGCCTTCTCGGAGGTCGTGGCAGGAAATTGTTCAGTGACCGTTGTTTCTGCTGTGGCTCCCGCTACTTTCGTTCTGCTGCTACTAGTGTTGGCGGTTGCGATGCAAAAGCCTGGCAATAATGTGCACGGCAACAGTGACATGAGACTTTTGAAGTGCGCTAACTCGATGCGGACCACTAAAATGTGATTTTTTCATAATAAGCACTTCTTTGACCCAAAGTAACACTACGAGGCATCTGGACTGCTATTTCAACAATCAATGTCTACTTAATAGTTGCATTTAGTGTCCCTTTAAAGGAATTTACGCAGGCGTAAACAGCTGTAGTGCTTTGACAATAGTCTTTTCAAGCTCTATGTTTTTCAAACATGCCTCTTAGCTTTAAGCCCGCATGCATGGCAGTGTAAAGAAAGGCACAGATATGTACATGGCAGCTTCTACTTGTGTTGAAGGAGAGACCTTAATACATGAGTGCAATCTGTGATAAAGCTAGGATTTCGCTAATTTGTATCTGCCAAAAATTTATGATGAGAAGGTATGGCAGAAGTGTCGTATGCACCGCTGGTAAAGAAACGACATGAAAGCCCTTCAGTTAAATTTGTGCCTTGGCTGCCAAGGGAGAGAGACTATTTAAGTGTGGGGGCGAGCTGATTTTGAGTGCAAACTTACTCTGAATTCATAACTCGAAAATGAATTTTTGATCGGAGAGCACCATAACATGTTTTGACTGCACCAACAACACTCACATGCGTTATTGTCCTTTATGTGCAGGGTCAGGATCAACTTGAAAAGCTGCGTGAAGAGTATGAGCTGCTGCAGAAAGAGGACAAAGAGGTACAACACTGTTTTTTTTTCTGAATGTGAGCTGATTCACTGTTCTACATATCTCCTTCCAGCCAAGGGTTGATGCTGCGAAGAACATTTCAGGGTGGAAGGAAAAAGTCAGAAAAGGAATTAGAGTTTTCGAAGAAGGGTACTTCGCATGTCCATGTTGCAGGGGTACAACAGTTGTCTGTGCAGATTGTGCCGATTGGATGCAATTTTTTATTTTTGCGTCAAACTGAGCCGGAACTGTGAAGTTTGCTCATTATGTGCCATGCTGCGCCAAAATACCTAACCAGCCTCAAAATTTTCTCTGTAATGTTAATTTTGGCTAGAAACAAAGTACGCATTAATCACCTACAGTTCGCACATCATCATCCGATCCAATCCATACACGCAGACCGTAATGCCAGCTCCTAATTGGGTATAATTTAATCTCCCTGTAAAAGAAAAGAAAAAGGATTGTGGTTCTAAAATTTCATGACCTTGTAGTCTCACGTGTGGCACGATTTTAAGCCACCTATGCTGCAGTGCACCTTTACTATGCAGAAAAGCATACTATAATTTGGAAAGGGCCGCTAGTACTTGTCACGAGACACAGCACGTCCTATTCCTCAATTGTTTCCTGCGTGCCCACGCCACACAAATAGTGAGTGCTAGTATAATTGCTGACATATAAAAAATTACTGGTATTCATTCAGAGCTGTGTGTGACGTTTCTACAGATTTAAGAAACAATAAACAAAAACATACACCAGTTTTTTTTTTTTGCCACCCCTTTTAGTTTCTGTTTTACTACCCTATTTGCTCTATTTTAATGTGACCAAAATTGTAACGTGGGGGTGGCTTTTCATTGTGCCCTAAAATGAAGAGTACTAAAAATAATAGGTATTTGAGTTTCACTATTTGAGAGCAATGGGAAGGTTGAATTCAGAGAATGAATTCAGGTAACGACAACCTGTTTAAAAAAACTCATGTTACATTTGTGTAAATATGGTTACTTCTCAAATTTCTAGGTTGGGACTGTCAAGCGATTAAACAGGCTCTACAATTGCTAATGTGGACTTCGACATTGTTTGCACTGTGGGGCGGTTCAACAAACAGCTATTTATTGAAATAGCAGCGCACTGTGCTTGAGTTAACTGTCATTAAATAGTTTGTATACATATATTTGTCTTTTTGAAAAGTTGGTTTCATTCGTTGAAGTACTACTCTAATTTTGGGATCGCAGGCTAAAAAATGGAGTGTTTAATTTTGCTGCAACTTGCTCCAAAAGTAACATTTTACTGCTCCGAAAATCACTCTGGATCGTAATTCAACTGTTGCACCCCTGTTGTGGTGTAATTCCGGGTGAGATTTTCGGGCCAGCGATTGCGTCCAGCTTTAGTACAGCCACATTATGTAACATTGATCTTCTTTTATATGGCTCGCTGTGTATGTGATCTAATGCATTGCCAGTAGGCAGCTGATTTAGTCACCTCCTTCTGACCGCCTTAAAGGGGGACTCCAGTGCATTTTCATCCATAGTGAGATAACGCTGTTTTCTAATAGTGGTGACAGTCCTGAAAAAGCTAGGGTGGTTCGTTTTGCCTAGGCACTCGTCAATAATTTTAATTACACAAAAAACGACGAGTCAAAACAAACCGAAACGGGGAGCGTCTCCGTTCTCCATGGTGGGTATCCACTGACGTCGCAAGATAGCGTCGCGGATGACGTCACGAGATCTGCTACACCCCGCCACGGCTGGCCAGGGTGTACATAGCTCAGATGCCTTGATCTTCTGATGCACGAAAAGCAAGTTGGCGATGGAGCGGACAAAATTGATCTGTGCTCGCGTTGTCGTCACCTCGTTGAAGAAAGCGTGCACTGCATCTGTCTGCTGGGAAAGGCATGGTTTTCGAAAAAAGAGTAGACCCTGATGTCATATACACAGGGTGGTTCGCGTTTGCAAGTGTGATTTCAAAATCAGCTACAAATTTTAAAATTTGTTTTCTGAAAAACTAAACGACTTATGCTTGTATAATTTGCCACATATCACCACGGTGCCGATGCGAACACATGTTTAAAGTTTGATTTAAATCGATGAATATAAAAAAAATGCCGGAGTTCCCCTTTAAGAAACTAATCCACTTAACTATTTTAACTAATTCACGTTCTTACGAGCAACTCAATTACTACACTTAGTTTATTCCCACTTTCATATTCAGTTGTGGGATTGACATGAATAGCAGATTGACTGATGGAGTTTATAAAATGCAAAATCTGATAATGTATTGTTCTACTGTTTAATGCCATTTATTAACAACTGTTCAAGTATAGAGGTTCAGTTCTTCAAATTTTCATCATTTTTTTTCTTAATTTATATACATACCCTAAGTTGTGCTGCAGTATGGCATAGGCAGTGGGCTGTTATCAGCTCTGTTTTGCACGGGTAACGAAACTCGTTTGCTTTTTTGCACTCTTGCAGTTAACTTTTAGTTTTAATGTTTTTGTTTGTTTGATAGATTGATTGTTGATTCTTTTATTCATTCACATTTCTATGTGCATGGATTTTTTTTTCACAGGCTGAGGCTCAGCTCGAAGAAGTGCGTGCGGCTGCCAAACGCATTGCTGAGGGCGTTGGCAGCCAGGAACCACAGCTGGCAAAACTGTGCACACTGCTGCGCATAAACGCCGAGCTTGCCGACCAGGAGTCTCGCTTTCGAGCTAGCTGTCGGCAAGAGATGCAACGGCTACAGGAGCTTGTGGCTTCGCCAGAGCCAGAGCAGGCGGCTGGCAACACTGCAGAGGACAGCCAAGTTGAAGCTCAGTGTCAGCAGGAGAGGGAGAGGCTACAGCGCATGCGACTTCTTCTGGTAAGGGAACAACAGAAAGTTGGGCCAGTTGATAAGGCAGCATGTTTGGATGCAGTGCAAGAACGACAAAGACTGAAGAATACAGAAAGGACAGACGCAAACCGGCACTCGTCTGTGTCCCTTCCCTACTCTTTCGTCTTCATCGTTCTCGCTCTGTATCCCCCGCCCACCCAAAAGCCATTTCCTTCATGTGAATCAATAAAAAAGCCTAATGAATGCATATTGATAATTGCTTCATGCCTAATTTTACAACAGAAACATTACAAAAAAATTAAAGAGGAACACATGTCTCACCTTCTTGTCAGTAAGTGGTAGGAAGTCGGGGAACCAGAAGTGTCACTGGAGCTTATGTTTAGTGACCCTTCTCTTTGCACAAAATTATTCTACTACTCCAAATCCACTTGACGGTAGAGGAGATTGAGGAGCGAGGAAATAAAATTGCTGTTAAGAAGAACTCCTCACTCTTCAAAATCTCAAAAAAAAAAAAAAAATCTCCCGCTAAAGCGAATCATGTGTAGATGTGAAGCAGCAGGCACTAACGCTTACGCTGGCAGCGGTGGTGACGCTGGCACTCATCGCAGTGTTGTGCAGGAGAGAAACCTGGGGAGGGGCAAAGCATGCATTGATGAACCGGTGTTTCCTACAGGATGAGAGGCAGATGAACAAAATTTTTTGTGACGAAATTTTATTGTTCAATAACGCACAGGAGAAATCTTTCACAGGCACTAGTTTGGAGGTCGAGATCCAGTGCCTGTAAATGCGGAGTGGGCAGCACACGGTTGTGCAGCACAAGCAGTCGTTTTTTTAATTCAAGAAACTCGCTATCAGACGCTGCTTGCGTAGGCGTTGTGAGGTGAGAGAGGGAGAGCATAGGAAAGAAAGAGAGAGGGGAGGGGTTGTGCATGCACAGTGGGGGGGGGGGCTAGACATTGCAGTACTGAAGAACACAGCCCCCGGCATAAAATCCTTTCCATCTAAAAAAAAAAAGGTAAAGGGGGCAAGGGGGATGCAGCCCCCCTTGATTCACCATCTCGGTCCTCCACCTCAAAGGTAGCCAACCACTAACCTGTAACGTTCTGCCATCTTTATGCTTCTTCCTTTTGCACCCCTGAAGGAACAATGCTGGGAGATACTCTAGCAAACACTACAAGCTCAGTGCATATTGTTACAGATAGACGAGGTGTGTGTGTGTTACAGATATGTTTTAAATGTGGGTGCTGTTCCCGCTTGCGTGATATGGTTTTCCTTCTTGAAACAAGAAGGGCAGTATTAAGAGACTGTTTTTATTGTTTCCTTTGACTTACAGGCTAAGAAGAACAGGGAGATTGCAGCCATACAAAGGAAGATTGATGAAGTGCCGTCGCGCGCAGAGTTGAATCAGTATCAGCGCCGTTTTGTTGAATTATATGGCCAAGGTGAGTGTCTGGTGTATGTCAGAGGTTTCTTGCGAGGATTAGCACGGCAACCCTGATTGGTGAATACTAGCCTTTTGCAAATATTCAGACAAATATCGTGTTCTTCGAATTCTCTTTGATTCGAATTTTAAAAACTGAAAATTTCGAAATATTTGAGATAATTGATTAGGTAAATGTTAATCTGCATGCAACACTTTATAAAGGTGGTTTCTCTGCATTGGAGAAATGCCAAGCCATGAAAACACTTAGTTAGTATTCAAGTGCACGTTAGTTTGCATGTAGATTTTTGTAAAGATTATTTCAGTGCAGTGAAGGGGTGCTAAACTATGAAAACAACTATTTAAAGGAAATTTGCATTGTCGGGAAGCACCACTTTTAAGTTTAACATAATTTTTTAAGCTTAATAGCATGTTATACCATCTTATATGTTCCAAGCATAGTAAATTTTAAAACGTAACATATTTCAGAGGTTATCACTTGCATTCTACTAAAAGTTGAAAGTCAAATCCTGCTATTCAAAATTGCTTCCACTGCCTTTTAATTAAAAAGAATAGTATTTGCACAGGCCTTGTTTTAATTTTAAAAATTCACAAGTTAATTGGGTGATGACAAATATGTTCATTTTTTCTTATAATATGTGATATATACTATTGAATCTCACTTCGAAATTATTCTACAAAAATCACTATTTGCGCAAGTCTTGTGATTACAAGTAGTACTCACACTGCAGAGGCTTGAGGACTTACATGAGCAAGGACACATGCTAGAATAATGTGCACTGAAAAGGCTTGTGATGAATTTGCCTAAGGAGCACTGCGGTAATGGGTGAAGTTTTCTTTAAGTTTGCTGTAAGTTTTCCTTTTTACTCCTCATCCCATTGACATTTAGAATGGTCATGACAGCCTCCCACATGAGTTGTCTAATGATGAATTTGTGTAACAATTGCCAAATTTCATTCCCTGATGTGTAGGCTTTCCTGATCTAATTCTCTTTTTTTTCTTTGTCAATGTATAAACTCTTTTCATTGTATTTTTAGTGCATGTATATACGCACTCCTGCATTATCTTGCTATGCAAGATGGCAGTATATGTAAATAAAAAAAATTAAATAAGAAGTGCTGTGAAGCAAGAGGCATAGTAGACATATTTTGTTTGATTACACTCTTCGAGATGACTGTAGGCGATAATGCTATATATTTTGATACGTTCATTCATTCATTTTACTTGAATAAATAAAAAATTTTATGGGTGTTCTCTGCCGAATAATTATGTGTAGATGATACACAGCAAAAAGATTTCACTCATGCTTCCATCTGTTTCTTTTGTACTTGTAGCTCATTGGAAACAATCAAATCGGCATCATCGGCAAAACCAGCTGTTGGCCGATCATGACACATACTTTGTTTTTGTGTTTCACAAGGTGAAGTTCCCGAGAAACGGTGTAATAGATATGCCAAATGTATATTTTAGAATCGACATATCTTTTGTTGTAATGCAGCTATTAAAAATCTGCATAGACATTATCTACAGAAACAACTTTGTTATTACATTAAATTTGATTCAGTTCAGCCAACTAAAAAAAAAGAATTTGCGGCCCGCATCTGTTTACTTGGCCTTGTCGTTTTTTTATTTTGTAGGCTGTAAACTTATTTATTAGTGCAAAGTCAAAAATATATTGATCATATTACTCATGGAATGCATTGCTTATATTTAATGAAAAGTGAGCTGTTTTTGCCATAACTCCCTTGCAGTGGCTGCTACCCACCGAGAAACAAAGCAGTTCTTCACACTATACAACACTTTGGATGACATTCGCATGTACTTGGATAAAGAGGTATGCATAGGGGCTTAGGCTTGCGGGTTGTATTACTACAATTGAGCTGAAAATCGACAATGACAGACAAAAGTGCGAAATGCTGCGTTGGTTTGCTTGGCCTGTTGTTAATTCTTTGGCGGGGTTGGTGCAGTAAAACCTCATTAATAGGCTTATGCTTGTAGCAAGTATTACACTCCCAGGTGTCTCTTGCTATTTAGGTCTTATAGGGCAGGGTGTGTTAGCTTCATGTTTGTGACTTTTCTCTTCCTAATAATAGAATTGGTCAGGTTGTATCGGTATGAAGTTTATGAAACAGCGCTTCCAAGGGTCCGCCTACATAATATTCTACCCCCTGCTTGCATTCTTCCATCTGTTGATAGAATTCACCCTACTATATACTATAGTAGTACTATAGTAGTATACTAGTACTATATATGAAAACTAAACTTTCTAAAGGTGTGACATTTTTTGTTGGTGAGGCATTAGTTGACTGTCGTGCGTCATGGTTGACGTTGAGCGTGTGTCTGTTGAGCAGTACTGTTGAGCATGTTTTCGATTGATTGCAACACAACTCGCACAGAAGAGGTGAATGAATGCATGATTTCACGTCACACCCATATTAGCAGAGATTGTGGTGACATTACAAAGCTTGTGCAGTTACTTCAGTGTTGCATGAAAGCTCAAAAACTGTAAAATAGCTTCATTCAAAAGAGGTGGTCATTGCACAATGTGTGGCACAAGTGACTGATGAAAATTGTGAGATTCATTTTGTGCAGTTTATGGCTATGATCTTCTAAGTCTCCGTGGAGTCAGAACATCAGGCAAGGATAGCAAGCCTTATTTAGTAAATTTTTATAGTCTCTCAGCTTGAAATATAGTTCTGTGCAGCATTATATTTCTTCCTCATACATATGACTGCTATAAGCATTATGAGATAGCATACAGTCTGTTCTGTATGTCCTTAGGTATATCTTAGCAGTGATGCTCTACTGTTCATTCATCAAGAGTTTTCGTGTGTGCGTGTCACTTGTGAACAGCTATTTTGGGGAACTGCCACTTGTCACAGTTTTGAAAAACGTTAAAATATGTTAACTACATTAGGTCCTTATCAAACTGTGTTCCAATGTGTGTCTATGTATGATGTGTGTTTCATATATCGGGCAACATTTTCTCTAGTACATTTGAAAAAAAAAAATGAAGTGCTTGTTCCTTTGTTCTAGTATTTCACGAGTATAATGCATACACAGAACTCTCCTCACAGATCTTTAGGACACTGTATATGACGTTCGTAGTGCCCAAGATATCCCTAATTGTTTTTGGCTGCGATGTAGGCATTGTATTTTAGGCTAAACTTGCATGTGAAACCTTGTGGTATTTGTCTTGAATACATTTGTGAGTAACAGTAAGCGTTTGACTGATAGTATTACACTTGTGGCTTCTGTTTCAGATTGGCCTACTCAACTCAGTACTGGAAAATTTCACAGAGTAAGTGTTGTGTGCACTGAACGTTCATTTATTCTGCAGTTGGCTAGTTTTGCAGTATTTGCATCTTTTGACGGCTGGCCAGAACACTACGCTTCAGAATATACGGATGTACTGTACACTTCTTATGGATTATTGTATGCATTTGTCAGTTATTATTATTATTATTATTATTATTATATTATTATTATTATTATTATTATTATTTGCCTTCTGCACATCTGTGCCATGTCACTTGTTCCTGCTAAAATTCAGGCCACGTTTTCTGTGTGCTTACAGAGCCATGTCAAACCCAGCCACCAAAGATCAGTTCCTGGCACAGTTTGAGCAGATCGTTGAAGGTGTCAAACAGAATCGTTTGAAGGTATACTTTCATTACTGTCATTTCATTTTTTTTCCGCTCTATGCTGTACTATCTGGCACCGTAATGGCTAAATTTATAGAATTATGGCTAAAGTTAAGGCTACGGTGTAATAAAAATAATTTAGGTGTGGCCTCTCTCCACCCGCCGCGACGGAGAGCACGTCCAGATGTCCCACCATGGTGGTCTAGTGGCTAAGGTACTCGGCTGCTGACCCGCAGGTCGGGGCATCAAATCCCGGCTGTGGCGTCTGCATTTTCGATAAAGGCAAAAATGCTGTGAGCTCGTGTGCTCAGATTTTGGTGCACGTTAAAAAACTCCAGGTGGTCGAAGTTTTCGAGCCCTCCACCATGGCGTCTTTCATTATCATATGGCGGTTTCAGGACGCTAAAGTCCACATATCAATCAATCAAGGGCGTCCAGGTAATGTTTTCCTTTAATACATGCGCTGGCCCCAGTTTCGTGGAGGGTGCTGCGACATGGGGGCTTATTAAAACCAAGCGCCACGAGGCGAATGCATGTTTTCTTTTTTTCACCTGGAAGTATTTTATTTTTAAACCGTGCACGCTAGCAACTAGAGCTAGAAATGCATACTGCATTTCTCGCGATCGAAAAACGCCACTTCCAGCAAATGCTGCATTGGCTGCACGGTGTTAGAAAAAAAAATCATACTTCCAATGCTGAGTTGTGATGGGGTAATGCCATTATGGGCACTACGCATGAACTCGTCTTCTACAGTACGTGCATTGGTCACAGTTCCGTCGGCAACACGCCGACATGGCGGCCGAGAGGAGGAAACAGGCGAACATTATCTGGACATGCTGTCGAGAGGAGTGTCCACACCTAAATTATTTTTCTTACATTGTGGTTATGGCTAACTAGAACACACTCCTTTGCACATCTACCAGTCATACAAACGTATCTGCATGAATATGGCTTATGCACTTCGTGTAAAGTCTATATAGTAGCACCATGCTTAAAAGCTATAAGTAGTAGCAATGCTAGATAATGCTCTTGGGTTAGGACTTGCAAAACAGGTTCTGTTTTTTCTGTTGTTCTCCATGTACATTTTAGTTTGGCTGTAATGGTACATTTGCCAAATCAGCACTGATAAGCTTACACATTTGGCTTGAGCACTTTCTTCTTTTGGTGGAAGGGGTGCTTTTCTACTTTGCCAACTGCTGTACTGTTAACGACCACCTACGTGCTGCACTACTATTTTAAATGCAATGTTTAAAAACTGAGTGAGTTTCTTGCATGAGGTACTGAGCTGTGGAATATTGTGAATGCAGTTAGAACGAAAAACAATGTCAGCAATTTTGACCTAGTACTTTGTCAGCTAAGTGCCCAATTTCTTGGCATGTGTTATTGAACGCATTAAAATGTAATCCTTTCTTTCGCTGAGTATTATGGATGTGCCGGCATTCAGGTCTTACCTGTTCAGGTGTGAGATAGCTGTTTCTCCTGTCGCAGGTTGAGAAGAAAAGACAAGAGGCTAAGATGTCACGTGACAGACTGCATGATAGCCTCCTCGAATTGGTGGACAAGCAGAGGCTCTACTTCCGCACGGTCAAAGAATTCAAGGAGGTACTTTGCTCGCTTCACTGAGCTACTCGATTCTGTTGCTTGTGTATTCCACTACAATTCACGTTATTGCCTCATAAAAAGCCCGCATGTTTGTAGAGTTTGTAATAGGTATGTCTGTTTGCACATAGTTACCTTTGATGCTGTGCTGTTGTGCAATGCCTGTGCACCAAGTATTCATGACAGTTCAGTCTATAGCAAATATACTATTCAGCGGAATTGTTTTGTGAAGTGAATTTTAGTTCTGGAAGTTTAAGTTATAATTTTAAAAACTCTGTTTTATGCAGGAATGCCGGAAGAATGAAGTCCTTGTAGGGAAGCTGAAAGAATCATCGGGGAAGCAGCGATGATAGATTGTAGGTTTTTCTTGAACTTGCTGCAATGTCTACCAAAGTGTTGCACATTCCACGAGCTCTTTTTCTTATTTTTAGGCCTTTTCTTTCAGCTGCTAGCTGTAATAAATCATATCTATATACAGTACAAATATCCAATTGAATCTTCATGTCTTTTTTACACATAGATGCAGGCTGTGCTTGCATGTCTCAGTAGTCTGCTTAGTGCTTACTGCTTTGTTCATGTTACACATATTACCAGGTATGGGCAGATGGCAATGAAAAATCAAAATAGCTTCAAAATATATAGTGGCACTCTTTGCTTCGATAAATATTTTGCAGGTGTTGCACACTTTGGGAATGGGTGGGTGGCGTGCTCTGCTGCTTTGCATACTGGGACACTATTGATCTTGTAGTGCAAGTTGCATACTACTGAAATGTGTGTCATGTGGAATGCTTCTTAAAACTTCTTCATGTGTATGTACTGAACATTATGAGATATGTCTAGGGTTTTGTTATGTGCACACCCTTTGCAAAGGTTTGTCGAATTGCACGTCCCAATCAAATCTATGCCAAGCTACTATTAAACCATCACTAAACTGTTTTTATGACACCATCTATGGCATGTAAAAATCAATGGCACTATGAGATTTAGCTTCCTCATGAAACACTTGTATGCTAATCTAACGGCACTTTTGTGTGATCTCCTGTTTTTCTCATCTGTGTGAGCAACTCGCTGCGATGGCTGTTTAGGGAGACGATGTAAAATCCTGGGAAAAAGTGAAGCTAGCTTTAGACATCACCCATTAATCTAATGCAATAATATCATTATTATAAATGCATTGGTAACCAAAGCAATTCATTTATTTGATTTCATTTACTAAAAAACATCAGCCTCCTTTACAAGAAGAACACACCGACACTAGCATCAGGATTGGACTAGCAAGCATCCAGATTTGTGTGGGTATACCGTATTCTGTAAGACGCCGAACCATGACACTATTGAGAGAAATTGGCGAAAACATCCTTGATTCAAAATATTTGCGTTAGGATAGGCCTGCAGGAAAACTATAGTATTGTGCATCACAACATTGGAAATATCCAAGTAATAGAGGGATATTTTTACAATAGAGTGTAAAGATAGAGTGTCTTACCCTTCTTAAACATGGAATACCAACATGCCCACCTTGGTAAAGATTATACAAAAAGGGCGTGGCACGCTTGTCTTCATGCATGCATAGTAGTGCATCAGTCAAAAGTGTCAATACTGCTATCCCATAATTGTAATCAATAAGTCACTCAGCATTATCTGGTCATAAATGGCAGTTTTTTAATATTTTCCAGGAAGTTGCATGACATTAACTTAAAATCAGGGTTTCCCACTTAGATTCTCACTTAATAAACCTATGCATAACTGGTACTATTGCAAAGCTTTCCTTAATTCACTTAAAAGCTTTTGTGAACTGATGTGAAGCGAGATTCAACTGGACTTTAAAGCTGAAGTTTTCTTTTCAGTGGCAGATAATCTGCTCCATGGTCAACTCCAAATGGGTTCATGTATTGCGTTATTTCACTTAGATTAAAGTTGTGAACTGAGTGTGCGTGCGTGTGCTCCTTAATGTGCTGTGTTTATCTCTCTTCCTTCTCTCCTCTCTATCTTCCCTCCCCCCATCCCCTTCCCATGCACAGGGTAACAAACCGGCTGCTTATAGACTGGTTATATAACCTCCCTGCCATTCTTTTCCGCCTATTTTCCTTCCTTGAAGTTGTGAAATATGCTTTTCTGCCATTTGTATGGCAGCTTCCATCATGATCCTGTACGGAGAACTTTTTCATCAATCAGGTTTGTGTTGGCGAAGTCTTTGCGTGATTTAAGTGCTCATTTGAGGATTTTCTTTAAAGTCGGTGGAATTTGTGTGTGGCTAGATGTTTGAAGTGATCAAACAGGTATGATCAGTGGCTTGTTAATGAAGTATGGGTGCCTTGGTGGATACTCAGAAAAATTTCAAAGCTGAAATCACATGAGGTATGATGTAAAGACGAGCACGAGGCGTTGTTTATTCTGTTGTAATCTTCAGTCCTCTTCTCTATGCTTGTCATCTCTTAGGTGTCTTTGAAGTTGTGCGGCGATTCTATCCTTTTTTTAGTATAGATACTTCACATATCGATATAGTGTAAATTAAGTTTATTTACGTAAATTAAGTTTACCTCTGCTGGCCTTCAACTTAACATCAAGAAGTGCCATTTTGTCGCACGTCAGCTCACTATACTGGGTCACGTCGTCTGCAAAGAGGGTGTTCTCCCGGATCCGGCGAAACTCCGCGCCATGGCCGACTGGGCGAAGCCCAATTCCATCAAGACGCTTCGAAGTTTTATCGGCCTGTGCTCATACTTTCGTTGATTTGTGCGCAACTTCTCTTCCATCATCGCGCCTCTTACCAACCTGCTGACAACTTCCAAAGGCATTTCTGTTTGGTCAAAAGAGTGCGACGAATCCTTCACCGCGCTTCGGCGGTTATTATTATCACCTCCAATACTACGTCATTTTGACCCCGATGCGCCTACGGAGGTCCACACCGACGCCAGTGGTGTCGGTCTTGGTGCTGTATTGGCTCAATGAAAACCAGGATACCAAGAATACGTAGTCGCTTACGCGAGTCGAACCCTCAAGAAAGCCGAGTGTAATTGTTCCGTCACGGAGAAAGAGTGCCTCGCAATTGTCTGGGCTTTGACAAAGTTCCGCCCATAGCTTTATGGCCGCCCTTTCGAAGTCGTCATGGAACACCACGCTCTATGCTGGCTATCATCGCTCAAAGACCCGTCGGGGCGCCTTGGTCGTTGGGCGCTTCGCCTACAGGAACACGACATTCGTGTTGTATACCGATCCGGCCGCAAGCACTCCGACGCTGATGCGCTATTCCGCTCGCCGCTGCCGGCTGACCCAACCTCCACGTCACCTTCTTCAGCTGTCATAACACCAATCGACTTCACAGACATGGCATCGGAACAACGCAAAGATGTGTGGATTACCCAACTCCTCGCCTTTCTGACTGATCCGTTAGCTAATTTGGTCTCAAGAACTATCCGCCGTCAAGCCACACATTTCGCTATTCGAGACGACCTTATATATCGGCGGAATTACACGTCTGAAGGTCGGAGGTGGCTGTTAGTGATACCTAACCACATGCGCTCGGAAATCTGTACTGCTTTCCACAACGACCCGCAAAGCGCTCACGCCGGCGCTCTCAAAACGTACAACCGTCTACGTCAGCAGTACTACTGGCGCGGCATGCCAGCGGCGTACAGTCCCATCTCAACGCCCTGCCAGTACACTTCAGCCTCTGCCTTGTCCAGCGCGTCCGTTTGACCGCGTAGGTATCGACTTACACGGACCACTTCCCACGTCGTCTTCTGGAAATAGGTGGATAATTGTTGGCGTGGACCACCTCACGCGTTACGCGGAGACGGCGCAGCACTACCCGCAGCAACCGCGAGGGAAGTTGCGTTTTTCATCTTGCGCAACTTTGTTCTTCGCCATGGTGCTCCCCGCGAACTTTTGAGCGACCGGGGGCGTGTTTTCTTGTCTGACGCTATTCAAGCGTTGCTCGCTCAGTGCAACATGGTTCATCGCATGACGACAGCATATCACCCGCAGACGAATGGCCTCACAGAACGATTTAATCGCACTCGGTGATATGTTGACGATGTACGCAGCTTCAGACCAGACCAATTGGCACACTGTCCTTCCATGCGTCACGTATGCGTATAACACCGCTACGCACGCGACAACAGGGTTCTCCCCTTTCTTTCTGTTGTACGGACGCGAACCATCGTGCACGCTGGACACTCCTCCCATACATGCCCGACTCCTCTGAGTACACTGCAATTTCTGATGTTGCCAGGTACGCAGAAGATTGCTGACGATTGGCCCGTTCACTGACAACCGAGGACCAAGGCCACCAGAAGCTACGGCATGACACCGACCGACATCTCTCTACTTTCACGACTGGTGCTCTCGTTTGGCTCTTGATTCCGCCGAGCACTCCTGGCCTTTCGTCGAAATTACTGGCACGATATTACGGGCCCTACCGCATTCTCGCCCGTACGTCACCAGTCAATTATGAGATTGAGCCTTTGACACAGTCTCATGACTTACGCCGTCGTGGCCGAGAAGGAGGAGGAGGACGCAACAAAAAGGGAGAAGGCAGGGAGGTTAACCAGAAAGACATCCGGTTGGCTACCCTACACTGGGGGATTAGGGAAGGGGACAAGAAAGACGAGAAAGAGGGAAGAGAGGGAAAAGAAAAAAAGGTGGGGGAGAGACTGACAGAAATTTCACTGCAGCGTGTAGAACTCTACCGCATGTCAGAGGCGTTCACACAAGCATGTGGCCGAGAAATTGTGCATGTTAGTCGCCTGAAGCCGTATTACGACACTGCTATAGTGACTACGCCTTAAGTCACCAGGTTGGCTACACTATTCCACGGGGGCCACTGTAGGGAACTATGCGAACGACGACGAAGCAACAAGAAACGGCAAGCCACAGCGTTGGTGCACACGCGCGACCCGAGCTTGCGTTTGTTTTGTATTTTCGGCCTGTTGGCGTTCCTCGCTCTTCTGGCGTTCCTCGGCCTTCCAGTAGGTCTGTACGTAAATAAACTGCGTGAAAATACAGTTGAAAAACTCCTGTGCAGGCATGGCTAGCATAAATCACACATTAATTAATTTAGACCGATTAAGTTACTTTTTTATGATAGACATGCCTGGCTGATTTCAGCATTAGGTAATTAAAAAACTGTTCTCAGCACGTCATCTACAGGAGACGAGCTCGTACAGATTGATAAACCTATGTAGGTGCAGTTTGACCAAAATTGGACCTGGCTGCATGTATTCATCTCCCACAACTGTGAGTCTTCGAATAATGAGTTAAAATTACATCGACGAAAAGAGTATTTTCGTCCACTTAGCTCCTCTCTATTGGTCAATGACGTTAACTGCAGTTTACAACTAATGCATCCGATATCTTTGGCTTACTTGTCAGATCGTTTCAATAGTAGTGCTTGACAAGGAAACATTAAAGCATCCTTGTAAACAGAGCACCCTCACGTTACGCTTTTGCGTAACTACGAATTCTACAACAATCACACGCAGCAACGCTGTTGTACTGCACCGCTGACATGCAGCACAAGGAACGGCTGTGATTGTTGCTGTAATGACACGGGCATTGACACGTCATAGTTGCGACAGAACGCCGTCGCAATGAGTGAGATTCAGCTTCGTCGTCTGGCAACCGTCTAGCTTCCTTTCCCCCTTTTTCCTTCGCGGCGCGCTAGCAAGATGGAGCGTTGATCGCGAACACATCTCGCACGGTTGTTTGCGTGGTTCCCGCGTGTACACACGTACAGCTGCATGATATGAGCGCACGCATTGACCCGTGGCGACCGACGGTGGTGATCTTGAATAGGCGACTGCGTCGTGCGAAGGCAGAGGAGAGCGGGCAGCGTCAATAAAAGTGAGTATCCGAAAGCTATCTTCGTTTCACGTGCTTCGCGGGACACTGGACCGAGTACGCGCGGAGCAGTAGGAACGAAGCGGCGCGCGAGTTTGGCATCGCGTGATCGACTTCTCACTTCCGCGAAATTTGAATGCCCCATTGTTGAGTCACGCGTGGACTGACATCATGGAGTTCCAACTCTTGTGCCTCATTCGTTCGCATGATATTGTTCCCCCGCTAGTTTCAGGCATGAACGCCGCTCTTTTCTTTTTCTTTTTAATGCGAAGCATTTCTTGGCGAACTTCGGCGACTTTGAGCGTATCTATCTATCTATCTATCCATCTATCTATCCATCTATTCGCTTACGTTTGGGTGCTCTCGTGGTCACCCCCTTAACTTGGCGTGAACCAAAATTAGCATGGGAGGGTAAGATGGTTTGACGAAGTTCACGCGCTGGTCAAGATATGAGCGATGTCACAATCCGGTTGCGTACGTCGTCAAACACTTCCCGACAGACAGTGGCACATGCCCACAGGCGGGTATGTGCCGCTGGTATGCGGGTATGTACCACAGGTCATTGACACTTAGTATCTACCCAGGAACGACGAGAACACACATGGGCAATTTTAACGCGGAAGCGTTAAGAAATACCCGACATCGGTAGCATCGACCCGACGAATGCAAAGAATAAATTTCAGGGTCCCAGCTGGAATCGAACCCAAGCATTCTGCGTGGCAATGAAGCATTTTACCACAGAACTACGTCAGGTCTCGGAACTACTTTTCAAATAAACGCTAATCTTTGTAAAACGTCAATAGTGGTTGCAGTGCTGCCTACCCAATTTTATGAACATTACATATGTACTCCTTTGATACAGCCGTCACGTCGGGTTAACGTCAATTGTGGTTAGTTGCCATGCGCTGAAGTTGATTTATGTAGCAGTGTTCAGAGCCAGCATCCTCGCGAGCATCAGCGCTTCATATCAGCTTCTGGTGTTGCTATATAATGCGCATGTGCCAACAACTGGTTATGTAAACATCTGCAACTCTTCAACATATGTCTGTGCGTGCAACATTTGTACATATATTTAGCGTCATTTCATGACGTGTCGCTCAATAAAAAAATGCAACCCGGTCACCTTCCCTCCGCATGCTTCGCATAACGTCGATTCCCAGTTACGTGGGATCTGCCGATTTTTTATTTTTTTTTATGAAAGGGAACTCGCAAGTGTTTGGCGAATCAAATCGAACTGCGCATTTGACTCAGCGCAGCGGCGAAATGTGATGCTGAAGGGGAAGAGCGGTACCATTACTTCTATTGCCGGCAATAGATTGTTTGTTTCAGTTTTCCTTCCTGTTTTTCCTCCTCATTTACTCGCCCCGCCGTGGTGGTCTATAGTGGCTAAGGTACTCGGCTGCATACCCGCAGGTAGCGGGTTCGAATCCCGGCTGCATTTCCGATGGAGGCGGAAATGTTGTAGGCCCGTGTGCTCAGATTTGTGTGCACGTTAAAGAACCCCAGGTAGTCTAAATTTCCGGAGCCCTCCACTACGGCGTCTCTCATAATCATATGGTTGTTTTGGAACGTTAAACCAGACATATCAATCACATATCAATCCTCATTTACTCGTGATGGTTTCCTGTTATTGGTTTACGTTGTTGGTAGTCGAAGAGAGCGCTCGATGCACAGTTGTTTCATTACTGCACTATTATCATTACCATCCTTTTAGATGTATTTCTAGAGGGCGCTCCTGCGTCGCCTTTTAACTCTGATCAGCCGACGATATGCGGTTGTACCACTACACTCATGTTCGCATCATCCGAAACACAGTGAATTGGTGCGCTCTTATACCGCTGTCACACTGTCACTTCTAATCGTGATAAGGCCCGACACGGATCCAGATTTTTTTTTTATCGTGATTGACTTTCTTACGCAAGCTGCAGAAGGGAAGTGATCACTCCTGAACAAACTTCTCGATAGGGCCCAATCGTGATGAGCAGTGTACCGTGTGGCAGTGGTGATATTGTCCTGCTGATTCGCCAACCTGTTTACTTATTCTATCTCAACTTGTGTGATAGGGCTGCGTCGAATTGAAGTTCCCTCTCTTCACTGCATTCGTACGTTGTTTCTGTTTTTTTTTCCCTTAATGTAAATGAAATATGTCGGAGTCTGTAAGGTTCTTGCTTCAGTGAAAAAGTAAATAACCCAGAAAGCCACAATGTTTTTTATGGTGCGAGCCAGGTTCTACGTTGGGTGTTTGGAACTAGGTTCACCACCATTACTAGGTCGCCGCTTGTGGCCTGAATATTCAATGAGACGGAATGTCCATCGAGACGGAGTGTCCAATCGTGGACGTCCAACGAGACAGAATGTCCATCGGGACGGAATGTCCACTATTGGACATTCCGCCTCGGTTGGACATTAAGGCTTGTTGGACATTCCGTCTCGATGGACATTACGTCTAGGTTGGACATTCATTCTCGGTTGAACATTCAGTCTCGCCTGTCACGTGACCCGCTGGACATTCCGTCTCGTTGGACATTCAGGCTCTAAATCATAGGTCACCAGGTTTAGCTTACCGTTCTATGCTTTGCGAGCGTTCACTGAGCAATCTGTTCGGCGAATCTTGGGTTGCATTTACGGCAGGGCTTCTCTGACATAATCGCAAAATAGCAAAGTGATTAAGTCCCCTTTAGGCATGCGCAAACTTTGCTGCTTACGCCTCCGAACGAGCGGCATGTTCGGCGAATCTTGGGTGTGCATTTACTGCGGTGCTTCTCTGACATAATCGCAAAATAGCAAGGTGATTAAGTCCCCTTTAGGCATGCGCAAACTTTGCTGCTTACGCCTCCGAACGGCTTCGTATAGAAGTTAGGTTCACTGTTATAGCGTAACCCAAGAAACTTAACTTCATTTCGAACGCATCGCTCGCCCGACTTACGATACCGTTCATATCCGCTTAACTTTTCACACACCTCAGGCGAGATAGAACCTTTCAAGTGTCGACGTAATCATGGAACGTTACCAGCCACTGAAATGTGCACATTTTCTTTGCGTGAAAAACGCATTCTGCAACTACTGGAATCCGTCCACTAGGGCTTGTTCAAGCAGAAAATTCGTAGTTATCGAGGCGATTTGATACAGGTGAGGCCCCTTTTATTATTTATTTTCTTTGAATGTGACACATTCCTTACGAGGTCAATTAAGTTTTCTGTAGCGGAATGTCCTTCGTTGACGAACTAATTTTGATGCCAATATTAAATACGGGTTACCTGTTCCGAAGGCGTTCGAAGTATTTTACTTGTCTGGACCTCGGCTGTTTGCGAAATTGAGCGCTTCAGTGATGCAAGGAATTCCGCCATGTTTATACTTACGCCTTATGCTTTTTGGAAGTAGTAATGAAAGTAACGGATTTTAGTATTTTCTGTTATGATGCTTTCGAAGTCGGGGTGAATTGTTTTTCTATTGTTTAGTAAATTTTATGCTCCTTCTTTGAATGTATGCATTACTCAACAAAGAGCGTGCCTCTTCACTTGCTAACAGGGCACGCATGGTGTCTAGTTGATGTCCCAACCAATTTATACCGTCTACCGCCGACAACTATACGTCATGCTGAAAATTACCTTTTGTAGCATCTCTCCTGCACTGTGTATCATAATATCACTGCAGCCTGGCTGGGAAAGACAGAATGAAAAACAGTGCAGCAGTCTCTTTTTTTTTTGGGGGGGGGGGGGGGGGGCTTCCGCATGGTACTAAGCTTTAATGATCGAATTAAGCCACGCACGAATACTTGCGTCATCACTTCGAAAACAGCGGTAGTCCGGGAAAAAAAAATCGTACAATATCAGCAAGAGGCACTCACGGCGCCGGCCTGCAAATAGTCCTTATCGAACTTGGCACTCATTTAAGATAATCATACGCAACCCTCAGCATTGCGAAGCGCGGCTATCTGTACATCGCGTGGTCTTCCGGACTGTGATAACGGTTTATCTCTGCTTGTCGAGGGACGTGAAACAACTTTCACCTATGTTGCATCATGTTTTGTTGCTTTAATGATTAACTCTTAGCTGGGGCGTTAAGCAACATTTCCACGTCGGGAAAACGAGCGGGGAAAGGTATAAGCCTCTCGCGTGTGGAATGTGCAGGTATGAGCAATATGAGAGAGAATACTGAAACTACCTTTTTTTTTTAAATGGCATAAAGACTAAACACAGTTGTCAAATGCAAAAGCGTTTATGACGCTCAATGCTCAAGCGGAGAGGTATCCCTGTAAATTCGATACGTCACATATCAGTTCACTTCAAGTCATCGTTATTAAACCAAAATTCAGTGTTTCTTCTCATACTGCTCAGGACTATATAATACGCACACACACCTTCCTACCCATTCTTTCATTATACCTGTGCAAGTTAGTACTACGGCCAGGGGGACGAATGACACTATAAAAACTAACGTAATAAGTTGTCGTAATTAGTCGCCTTTTTTATTGTGGTAATTATGTACTTGACTGACTGTATCACTCGAGCGATAACCTTTGTTGTGGAATAGTCAGCTATGGTTACTAGCTATATGATACACAAAATTCAGCAAATGTTTGTTAATGATTCGCCAGCATGACTGCATTTCAATAGGTCAAACTACAACCAACTAATAAGACTGCTACGGGGGCCCGTTGTTATCACTTCAGCGTTGCGCGTTGGCCAGTATTGACGTGGACCAAGAAGCACATTAGTTGTAATCAATTACAGTTTACCTTTCTTTCTTCTTTCTCTTTTCTTTCTTTCTTTCTTTCTTTCTTTCTTTCTTTCTTTCTTTCTTTCTTTCTTTCTTTCTTCTTTCTTTTCTTTCTTTCTTTCTTTCTTCGTAATAACACGTTGCAGCAGTCGTTTTAATCCTACGGTAACATGGGGAAAATGTTACGTTTCGTTTCTCTAATTCTGCCATTTCAGCTATCGGTCATTTACAAAACTTCGGTTTATTTTCCAGCGTGGTTACGTTTCAATAAGCTAGCTTGACGT